AGAAGGATCGTCGATCTCAGAATCCCATATAAAATAGGTTAGAGTCTATTTGGACGAGCTCCACTCCTAAATTTTGTAGCTGTATTCCTTGATTCTTCTGGTAAAGTGATTCTACTTAATTCTGGTAAGGGAGTAGGTGAGGATTGGACTGGGGTCAAAAAAAAATTGGCTCATTCCTTCTAATGTAAATAGAAAAATGATTCTTGTTTGTTTGTCACCAGAGTCTGTGTGTTTTTTTGACTATTTGACTAACGAGAAGCGATTCTTATAAAAATATACTCCAAAGGCCCCGCCAAACAACCCCTTAGGTAGTAAGAGATTCTATACTAGTATTGTATTTACAACAGCTCATCCAGTTATGCACAGAGATGACAACGGGTATCCAAAATCTAAAACCCGATGGGTTTTTATCCTATTAGGATAAGGATGTGGATCAATTTCTCTATCCAGCTGCGCCATTTATGAGCATGCTATCGCTGCTGACGTTTATATATAGTTGAGTACTCATAAGTAGCAAACAAGCTCTTGATAAGGAAATCAGTAGAACATTACGCCACACATACCCACAATAGCCCCAGATGACGAGGACATGGTGTAATAGAACTAAGTGGATAGGGAACGAATCTGGGTAACACGAATTCGATTTAGAACAACTGAGTGATTTGATAACGAGTAAAGTGGAATTGGTGGTCGCCGGTGATCTCTCGAGCCCGGCTCACCGCCTATGCCAACGCCTACCAAGACAAGTTCGAGTTGCTCTCTTCCCTTTCTGTTAAATATACTAGCGCTTATAGCTGTCCAACAGCGGATCACCGGATGCAGCCGGGCCTCCATGGCTTCAAGCTTTCCAGTCTGGGCCGGATACTTTTGGGTTCGGCTTCCTAGGCCTTCTCGACTTGGGCCTTTGTTCTGGTGGCTTGACGCGAACCGTCACACAGGGCTGGATTTGCTTCTGACTTTGTTACACTACTGAGACCGACTCAGAACGCCAAAAGGAAAGGAAAGGAGCGAGCGAGCGACTTTGATTCCAACACGGGGAAAAACGGAACAGTGGGAGTGGGACACGCATCGGCCGTCTCTAGTTCTCTACTACTGGGTGTCGAAAAACGGTCAATTTGAAAGATTGCAAGGCAAAAGCCACCCGGAAATTTTCTACACGGTTCGAGTCCGATCCCTTCCTCAGTTCCTCTCAAGGCGTCGTGGCGTGGAGCGGCGTGGCGTTGCGTCCCCTCCACATCACTCTGATCCCCTCGCACTCGCGGCCATGGCGGGAGCCAAGCAGCCTCGCCGATGCAACCTCCCGACGCTTCTCGCCACCATCTCGGCCGCCGCCCTGCTTCTCTTCTTCCCGCGGTTCTCGCCGTCGGCGGCGGCGGTGGAGAAGGGGAGGAACCGGTCGTCGTTGCTCGGGGAGCCGAGGCAGTGGGCCACGGGCAAGGACGAGGCGGAGATTCTGGCCGAGGCCGAAGCTCGTGCTGACGGCGGAGGAGAGGGTTTGCTGACTCGGGACGACGGGCGCGAGTTCGCCTCGCTTGACAGCATGCTGCAGTGGGCGATTGGTATGGGCCTGCGACTTTGTGGGTTCCTTCCTCGTTTGTTGGGTGAATTCGTCGATTTGAACCCGAAATATTTGCAATCTGAGTCAATTTGTATATCAAAAATTTCGCCAACAATGCTTATTTATTAGCCTACATTGCCATTGAAGTAGGAGCAAATTGACTCCAATACTGCTGCTGATGCAGGGAACTCTGATCCGGATAAGTTGAGAGAAAAGGCTGCGGAATTGGAGTGGCTATCGGCAGAGGAATTACTCAAGCGACAGATGGAGATTAAGGTGAAGACATTGCTGCAGAGCCGACGGAAATTTGTTCATCCAAGTTTAGAGTTCACTTTAAGTTTTAGTAGTTTATTTACATTAAGTTACGAATTTCCTGAACAACAACTCCTATTTCTGTTGGTCATAAAAGTTGATCTTCAGAGTTCAGGCCAACGTTTGGATGATGTAAAATGCAAAAATTTAAGTGATTGCGTTACCTTCATCCAAATAACTGCCCTGCAGGAGCTGATGGAGAAGTTAAAGGTGCCATCAGATGCTGAGTTGATGAAGATTGCTATTGCTGACTTAAATAATTCCTCTGTTTCGCTGGAGGACTGCCACCGTGCGCTGCAAGAGCTTTTACTTCTCGTTGAGCCCATCGACAATGCTAATGGTAAATTATGTACTTGTTTGTCAATATAAGCGTATGCTCGAAACCTCATCTTCGGCAAATCAATGCATGGATGAACGTGTAGTTTGCGGATAATAGATGCCTCCTTTTTTACTCTTGTCCATAAGAGAGAGTATGTGAGTTTAGTTATTTACCTGTGATTGATTCATGTTAAGATGATCCATGTACCTGTTGCATAGTTGTTTGTTCTGAAAGTTAAAACTGTGTTTTCAAGTCTCCATTTCCCTGTTTCATAAAGATCAGCAGTTCATTTCGAATCATGTTTAACAGTTTGTGCAAGCCAAGAATTATACTTATTTTTCTATACAAGATTCTTATGGTGACATGATTTTATCAATTTGTGTTCAGACCTTGACAAACTTGGAGGCCTTCTTCCATTGATTCGGGAACTTAGCAATGCAGATGAAGGAATAAGAACTACTTCAGCATGGGTGCTGGGCAAAGCCAGTCAGAACAATGTTCTTGTTCAAAACCAGGTACTATCAGCTTAACAGGTCTCCAACTATTTTCTATGGTGATTCCTCTGTCTTTTACTTCTATCCTTACAGCTTACTCAAGAAACTGTTTTCCATTCTTTCAATGCATCATCCTATGTATCAGTATTTACACAACTCTTTGTACTTGACTAGATCCTTGGTTATGGAGCTTTGGAAAGATTAGTGAAGATGGGTTATTCCAGTTCTTCACAAGAAGCTGCAAAGGCACTGTATGCTATATCCTCTTTGATTAGGGACAATGAACATGGTCAGGAGCTGTTCCTTTCAGAAAATGGTTATGCAATGTTGCAGGTAGAAAAAGGAAATCATATATTGAACATCTAGGCAAAAGTGAGGTTGAAGTGTACCAATGCGTTGTTTGTTTGCAGCATATACTGTCAACCACTAGAACTAATGTTCGGCTTCAGAAAAAGGTTCTGTCTTTACTGGCATATATAGCTGACTTTCAGCCAAATACAGGGAAGTCACAAGCTCCATCCTTAAGCAACCACCTTTTCATAAAATCAGTAGTTGAGATGATATCATCAGTGCCTGACCTTGACCTCCAGGAGAAGGTACACTCCAAAATATCATCTAAGTGAATACTATTTTCTTATGTTTGCCATGAAGGTATGACATGCTAGTTTTCCTGATCAAACTTGTTTTGGTCATCATACATGTAGGCTTTGTTAGCTGTTAGGAGTCTGCTGCAGCTTACGTCAGCTGATGCTACAGATCTTCAGAAGTTTTCAGGCCTGGATGATTCCCTGAATACATTGAGAGTGCAATAGGATGAGTTGACATCTCATGAGGAACAAAGGGAGTACGCTCTGGAAGTTGAAATTCTCCGGAGAGAAGCCCACATTGTCTTCCAGCAGAAAATCAATCAGGTATTGGTTCATACCTTAAATGATGCTGGAGTAGCAAACTCTGTTCGCATTTCTTCTATGAATACAGGCAAGGGTGGTTGCAGCATCACATGAAAATTGACAAAATGAAGTCAAATATAAGCCTGGGAATTCGAACAGATGTAATGGTTAGAAACCTTGGATGTCCATATGAAGGTGATCGGGTAACAGTTTATTTGTTACTTTTAGCTGAATGACAAGTTGTCAACAGAATTAAGGCGGGTTGCATGGGATCATAGATAATTCACAGATAGAATGTCACAAAATGGTGACTGTCTATCGAGTTACAGAACAGAGAAGTGCAATGGAACAGAGTTCTCACTCATTTCTGCTTCGTGTTGAACCATTTCATAATACACCTATAACACATTGAATGTCGATGCTGTTCATACGCAAAGATTCAAAGTTGTTACTGAGCCTAGACTAAGGTTGCAATTGCAATAGCCCTGATTCAGTTGCTTCCCGTTTTACTGAGCCTAGACTAAGGTTGCTCAAGTTCTTTCATACATAAGCATTTTGCACAACTTTCACTGAAAGTAAACTTACCATGCTTTGGAAAACCATAAAGTTCTGAATGGTGTCATGCTTATATATACAGAGGAAATAGAAAACCCAACGACTATGCGCAGCAGCAGCGGCACCTTCCTTCCTGGATCATTTGGGGCCTGTTTGGAACGCAGGAATTTCACAGGAATCAGTTTATTTTCACAGGAAAAATATAGAAACGGGAGAAAAATTCCCGCATTCCAAACAGGGCCTGGGCCTTGATAGGCAGCAGGGATCCTTCTTCCGTGGCACTCTGGTTGACGATCTGCTACCTGCTTTTCCTTTACCTCTTTTCAGTTTATTTAAAATAAAGCATTCAATTTTATGTTAAAGAAAAGAAGGTCTTGATCTCTTGGCTCAAGATGGTTCGATTTGAACAAAAAGCCCAACCAGATTTAAGGTAATTAAGAGTTCTGGGAAGCTCTGAGCTTAGAGTTCACATATATAGATCATAGATCTAAATTCTGGCTACAGTTGCCGCTATCTCCTATTATAGCTGTTTGAGGAGGAATTAGCTATTTTTTCTATGTATACAATTTAGTTGTTACCTGCCGCTAGCCGGTTATTTAAAACACCAATATAGGTAGATCGTTAAATGCCTTAGCCGGTGATTTAAAACACTGATGCAGATTCAAGTTGAAGGCTGTTGATTTGGCGAGTGCGAAATTGAACCCAGTTTCATGCGCTCGAATTACGTCGCTCGTCTCTGATAATCTCGTGAGTCGTGACGCATATATGTCTTTGTAATTTGTATTGTATTGGAAATCCTTTGTAGAATCTACAAAATTTGACTCCCCAAATGGTTGGCACCCCTCATACATACAAGCGAGCACTGAATGAGATCAGACGGCGAAGTATTCGAAGGCGCTCCCGAGTCGCCGGCCGGCGTATGGGTAGCGGTGGTCGGGGTACGTGCACCCGGTGCTGAACAGCATCCAGTGCCGCCGGCAGCGCTTGACGGGCAGGTCCCCGATCACGCGCTCGCCGCGGTCCGGCGTCTTGAGGACCACGGCGTCGTTCTCGAAGACGACGCGGCACAGGCCTTGGCCGGCGGGGTCCTGACACCGCCGTGCCTCGGGCCACCGCGAGTCCAGCACCGTGATCCCGGCGACGTAGTTGCCCGCGTACGCCCAGTTGCAGCGCACCCACCCGTGCTGCCCCTGCTCCACCAGCAGCTCGGCGACGCGGCGCCCGGCCCTGCCGTGGGGCACGCGGCCGCGCGGCACCACGCTGAGCTCCGTCAGGAACCCGCCCATCGCATGGCACGCCAGCTTCATGCCCAGCGCCGGAAGGTGGTTCTCCACGGACGCGTAGTACGTCTCGTGGGCGCCGGCCACCGCCGCGATGGCTGCGAGGGCCACGGCCACGGCGGCGAGGCGTGCCATTCTTGGCGGGGGTGCCGGCTAAGATTGTAGGGGTGCCTGCCTTCGCTCGGGGCCGCGCCAAACCATTTTATATTATCTGAACTTTGCTATTTGTGGTGACTGGTGAGACGACCGTGTAATCCATCGTCACAAAAAAGTGAGCAACTTCTGAAAACTCTAAAAAAAGGCTCCTCGATTCTACATTTTAGGGAAAATAAAAAAACAATCCTTTGATTATTTTACATCTGAACTCCCTAAAAAAATAAGTATTTGATAAAACGACTAATCTAGCGCCCGGACGCCCGCTCCGGTGCTCAACCCCCGCGTCCGCTTTTGCCCCCAGCGCGCCCCCTAGCCCTTCGGCGAGCCGCACGCCCCTAGCTCGCCCCACCGCGTCCGCCTTTGCACTGCCCCATGCGCGCGACGAGCACGCCCCAGTGCCCCCCTGACCACAGCACCCCCGCTCGCCGACCCTAGCGCCTTCGTCCGCTAGGCCCCCGGAGAGCCACGCGCCCCCGTCCACCGGCTCGCCCCTTGGCCGAACAACATAAAATGCTCTAATAAAACACTTGAAACAACATGAAACAACTGCTGCAACATAAGACTGAAGCAGCTGAAACATCTGGAATATATTATTGCAACATTTGTGTGAACCATATGAAAACATCCAGATCAGAACAATTGCAACATACGTCTAGAAACAGGTGAAACATTTTGAACAAATGCTTGCAACATGCCTTTGAAACACTCGCAACATATGCAACATGTGCAACATCCCCCGATCTACTTTTGCAACATCATATGATTCAACTGCAATATACCTCTGAAGCATCTGAAACAATTGAAAGATACAATTGCAACATGGGGGGAAGAGAGTCGGGCGCGGAGAGCACCATGGTCGCCGGATCTGAGGGCGTTGGGAGCTCCTTGTGCGGGAGGACGCCGGTGTTGGGGAGGGGCGCCGCCGGGGTGGGGGGAGGAGGACGTCAGCGTGGGGGAAGGAGCCGCTGGAGTGGGGGAGGAGGACGCTGGGGTGCGTGAAGGAGCCGCCGGTGTGGGAGAAGGCACCGCCGGGGTAGGGGAGGAGGATGCCACGGTGAGGGAGGGCGCCGCCGCCGGCCAGGGAGGGAGCCGGCGGCGCACGTGATGGAGAGCAATGGGTCGCTGCCGGTCATGGAGAGGAGTGAGCGACGCACACGATGGAGAGGAGTTGGGTCAGCTGGTGTGGGGGATATGACCCCCGATACCCACAAGGCAAGACATGGACCACACCATCAGAAGTGGCCCGGCCCACAAGATCAAGGCGTGCGACACACGGCAGTGTCGGCGTGCAATGCAAGGCTAAAAGAAGATGTGATTTATTAGACATTTAATACCAAATAGCATATTTTTCCTTATAACCGTACCCCTCCAGAGTATATAAGGAGGGGCAGGGGTCCCTTAGTCGGCATGTAGATACAGATCCTGGGCTTCGCCTAAGGTCCTCTCATCAATACAAACCAACCGAGCATAGGACGTAGGGTTTTACGTCACATTGACGGCCTAAACATGTATAAATCTTGTGTCCTATGTTTCTGTTACCATCTAGTTCCTGATCACGCGCACCTCTACCAATCAATCTACCATCGTGGGTTGCCCCCTCGGTGGACTGCCGAGCATCTTGAATCGGCAGTTGGAGCGCCAGATAGGGGTGTGCGCCTGATCCTCCGGCGAGCCAGATGGCGTACCTCAAGATCATCGGCACGTTCTCGGTGACGGCCCTGTGCATCTACAGCTCAAACAGACTATCACCGGGGAAGCGCTCGTACAGCAAGCTCGCCGCTTCATCCGATCTCGAGATGTCGTTCGTGAGCTCCACCATGTTCACTTGTCGGATGGCGTTCAGGGTCTCCACCTTCGAGTCAACCTTCACGGCACCCGCACGATGCTCCACTTCCTAATTGGATCTGCTGGCCCCATCCTAATCCGAGTCCATCATGATCACGATGCCGAGCCAAACACAAGCATATCACTGAGATACAACGAGACACAATCGGGCCTAAGCACGTGCATCCACAGTTGAGCGGTAGCCTATCGTCGTTTGGCGCTTCCATCAGCCAAGAGCAATCAAGCAAATAGTAAACAAATAGCCATGCAAGCTAGCTATGGGATCAAGTTATTGAGGAAGCCTTGTCATGTACTGATACATGCACGAGAGAAAAAGGCCGGCATGTCTACTCGGCCTACATCCATTACTTGGATACTATGACATGCCGACTATTCTGCTCGGCCTAAGGCTGACCAGTGGCATAAGGACAATGTTGTCCAGACTACTTGCTCCGACTGCCTGCCATAATGATAATCGCCGCGACCGCGGCCATGACGACATGCCAGAAAGCTCGAGGGCCGATCAATTTCGTCAATGCCGACTAGATAACATCATACGTCGCTGACCAGACGTTCCGTCTAAAGATAAGTATCTCTCTTATATCTACATTCAACAAAGTTTTCTCCATGGCTTTTCTCCAATTATTACTTCTCCATTTATTCTCCATGCAATGCTCCATTTATTCTCCACGTTTAATATCTCTGTGTTTAAGATGCTCCATTTGTTCTCCATAATGTGATATCTTAAACATATTCTCCGTCAATTCGCCAACCAGCCATGTTCTTATTTGTGTTACCCAGAGACGGCCCTGTCCTCGACTTCGTTCCTACACATGCACGAGTCATGCTCTACATTATGGATAGTCAGCAGCGGCTCCTTGGCGACACTCTTTCTCTTACGCGTACACGGGTGCCAGTCACTCTGTGCTATGGAGTTTGGGGCTAGTCAAGGCTGGTGATACAATACATAACCAACTGGAAGGAAGCTACCCATATTTAAAATATGAACAACTCCAAATAAACATAATGATTATTCACTCTGCTCTGCTGCCTTCATCGCCGAGTTCATATACTTTATTTTTACATCAGGTACTATCCATTCTACATGTTTCTATTGCAGGGGCTAGGTTCAGTCGACGAGCTTATTTTTTACGCTCGGGGACTAGATCAGTCGAGAAGGACAAGAGGATCATCATTTGGGTGGTGGCCCCACCTGGCAGTCGGATTTCACCGGCGACCAACTCGTCGGACCGTTCGGCTCACGAACTTCATCACCGACCAGTTGGTCGGTATAGGATCTCTGGTTGGCCTAGAGGGGGTGAATAGGTCTGTCAAAATAAACACTCAAACTTTTATTAAATTCACCATGTGGCACTGCCGCTCTAGAGGGCGGCACTACCAGACCTGAACAGCGGCACTACCGCACCTGTAGACAACTTTGAGTCACAGTTCAAAGTCCGTGAATGAAAACTTAGATCGGAGAAATTTCCTAGCTTACTGCATGTATGACAATCACAGATCAAGAGCTAAAAGTGGTAGAAACACCACACACAAGTAGATCGACTAAAAACCCTAGAAATCACCTCAACCACAATATGTCATGCAAGTAATGTAAATCAAGCACAAGTGACACAATGATTTATCCCATGGTTCGGCTAGCCACCAAGGCTTGCCTACCTCCACGTTGTTGAGGTTAGCCACTAAGGCTTAGAGCTTTCCAGCCTTTTCTCGTTCTCAAGTCAAGAGACTTAACTCTTGAGATGAGGGGTGAGTTTACTAGCTTCAAGAGATGGATACAAACCTCTCGAGGATGCCACACAAGTTGGCAAGCTCCATGGGCGATGCTCTAGCCAGCTAGGAGCCAAGCTCCAAGAGTAACAAACACAACCGTCGGCCAAAATGTGAACCAAGTGCTCTTTAGAGTTGGGAAATCAATGGAGCTGCTCTCTAATCGAGTTTAGGACCCTTTTTCCTTAAGGATTGATGGGGAAATCAATAGATTTGCTTGAAGGCTTGAGGTCAACAATGGAGGGTGAGAGAGAGAGAGCTCCTGCTCTGCTTTGAACGTGCTCAAGTGAGGAAGAAGAGGCAGACCTCTTCTGGAAGGAAGGGAAAAGGTATATATATATACCCCAGCCCCCAATGGTCACTTAAATCGCAGATAGCCATTGGGGAGGAAAGGGAAAGGTATATATATACCCTAGCCCACAACGGTCACCGCACCCAAGGGGTCGAGCGAGACGAAGCCCGTGGCCTCGAGGTCGGGCGAGACGGAGGCCGTGGCCTTAGGGTCGGCCAAGACGGATCTTGTGACCTTGGGGTCGGGCGAGACAGAGCCCGCGACCTTGGGGTCGGGCGAGACAGAGCCCGCACCAAGGGGTTGGGCGAGACGGATCCCACACCCAAGGGGTTGGGCGACACCGTTTAACACATCTCGAGCCATCCGGAGAAGTTAGCGTGGGCGCTAACTTCCTTGTGCCATGATTCAAGTGCATCAGTGCCTCTCTTTAAGTGCGACAGTACCGCACCACACAAGACAGCAAGGGTAATAGTGAAGTGGGGACTGTCTTGGCTGTGAATCTAAGGATGCTTGTGGTTGTTTGAGCACTTGGTAGCACATATTCGCTTAAGCATTGTGTCCCCCTTTATAGTATGACTTTTCCTATACTTAAATTCAAGATATAAAAGAATCTTAAACCTCTTTTGAGTTTGAAGCCATCTATATTTGTAATTAGGGGCTCCTCCGTTTCATGTAGTATCCTCGAATATAAATTCTCTGCTTGTCATCTCGATAATCTCATTAGTTCTCTAATTGCGTGGTCATTATCACCAAAACCCATAAATAAGGCTTGATTGCACTTTTAATCTCCCCCTTTTTGGTGATTGGTGACAACCCAATTAGAGCTTACAAAAGATATGAAATAATTACTGAGACTTTTCGAGCCATGGGTGTAGAGCCTCCCCCTAAGTATGTGAATAGAGAATTGAATTTTTAATTTGGCATAAGAAGCCAAGATTCACATTGTCAATTTTAGTGAAAGAGATGGGGCTCCCCCTACATCCATGCTCTTGTGGGGTGCTGCATATAGTTTATGCACAATATGGTTTGCTGTTGCAGCTAGGTGCGGCACTTCCGCACTTGCTATAATAGTACA